CTACACTACTTCTAGCCTTCACAGTCACCATCTACACTACTTCTAACCTTTACAGTCACCATCTACACTACTTCTAGCCTTCACAGTCACCATCTACACTACTTCTAACCTTCACAGTCACCATCTACACTACTTCTAACCTTCACAGTCACCATCTACACTACTTCTAACCTTCACAGTCACCATCTACACTACTTCTAACCTTCACAGTCACCATTTACACTACTTCTAGCCTTCACAGTCACCATCTACACTACTTCTAGCCTTCACAGTCACCATCTACACTACTTCTAGCCTTCACAGTCACCATCTACACTACTTCTAACCTTCACAGTCACCATCTACACTACTTCTAGCCTTCACAGTCACCATCTACACTACTTCTAACCTTCACAGTCGTCGTGTTGTTGCAGCATCACTTATACACAACTTTGCTTGTATAAATCTTAGTGGTGACTTTGTCACTGTAGATGTCTACCTTAAACATTAATCTTAGTGGTACTTTGTCACTGTAGATGTCTACCTTAAACATTAATTTAGTGGTGACTTTGTCACTGTAGATGTCTACCTTAAACATTAATCTTAGTGGGGACTTTGTCACTGTAGATGTCTACCTTAAACATTAATCTTAGTGGTGACTTTGTCACTGTAGATGTCTACCTTAAACATTAATCTTAGTGGTGACTTTGTCACTGTAGATGTCTACCTTAAACATTAATCTTAGTGGTGACTTTGTCACTGTAGATGTCTACCTTAAACATTAATCTTAGTGGTGACTTTGTCACTGTAGATGTCTACCTTAAAAAATTAATCTTAGTGGTGACTTTGTCACTGTAAATGTCTACCTTAAACATTAATCTTAGTGGTGACTTTGTCACTGTAGATGTCTACCTTAAACATTAATCTTAGTGGTGACTTTGTCACTGTAGATGTCTAAACCTTAAACATTAATCTTAGTGGTGACTTTGTCACTGTAGATGTCTACCTTAAACATTAATCTTAGTGGTGACTTTGTCACTGTAGATGTCTACCTTAAACATTAATCTTAGTGGTGACTTTGTCACTGTAGATGTCTACCTTAAACATTAATCTTAGTGGTGACTTTGTCACTGTAAGATGTCTACCTTGAACATTAATCTTAGTGGTGACTTTGTCACTGTAGATGTCTAACCTTAAACATTAATCTTAGTGGTGACTTTGTCACTGTGAATGTCTACCTTAAACATTAACGTTAGTGGTGACTTTGTCACTGTAGATGTCTACCTTAAACATTAATCTTAGTGGGTGACTTTGTCACTGTAGATGTCTACCTTAAACAATTAATCTTAGTGGTGACTTTGTCACTGTAGATGTCTACCTTTGAACATTAATCTTAGTGGTGACTTTGTCACTGTAGATGTCTACCTTAAACATTAATCTTAGTGGTGACTTTGTCACTGTAGATGTCTACCTTGAACATTAAAACTTAGTGGTGACTTTGTCACTGTAGATGTCTACCTTAAACATTAATCTTAGTGATGACTTTGTCACTGTAGATGTCTACCTTAAACATTAATCTTAGTGGTGACTTTGTCACTGTAGATGTCTACCTTGAACATTAATCTTAGTGGTGATTTGTCACTGTAGATGTCTACCTTAAACATTAATCTTAGTGGTGACTTTGTCACTGTAGATGTCTACCTTAAACATTAATCTTAGTGGTGACTTTGTCACTGTAGATGTCTACCTTGAACATTAATCTTATTGGTGACTTTGTCACTGTAGATGTCTACCTTAAACATTAATCTTAGTGGTGACTTTGTCACTGTAGATGTCTACCTTAAACATTAATCTTAGTGTGACTTTGTCACTGTAGATGTCTACCTTAAACATTAATCTTAGTGGTGACTTTGTCACTGTAGATGTCTACCTTAAACATTAATCTTAGTGGTGACTTTGTCACTGTAGATGTCTACCTTAAACATTAATCTTAGGGTGACTTTGTCACTGTAGATGTCTACCTTAAACATTTTAAACTTAGTGGTGACTTTGTCACTGTAGATGTCTACCTTAAACATTAATCTTAGTGGTGACTTTGTCACTGTAGATGTCTACCTTAAACATTAATCTTAGTGGTGACTTTGTCACTGTAGATGTCTACCTTAAACATTAATCTTATGGTGACTTTGTCACTGTAGATGTCTACCTTGAACATAATCTTAGTGGTGACTTTGTCACTGTAGATGTCTACCTATAAACATTAATCTTAGTGGTGACTTTGTCACTGTAGATGTCTACCTTAAACATTTAAACTTAGTGGTGACTTTGTCACTGTAGATGTCTACCTTAAACATTAATCTTAGTGGTGACTTTGTCACTGTAGATGTCTACCTTAAACATTAATCTTAGTGGTGACTTTGTCACTGTAGATGTCTACCTTAAACATTATATTGTTAAATGTTCCGAACTTCACAAGTCTCCTGACTTGACCTCATATTTTCTTCTCCTCCTCTCTCTACCTCTTCTCTTTTCATATATTCTTTGTTCCCCCCCCCCTTGTGGTTTTTATCTTACTTCTTGTGGGCTCTTAGCTCTCCTGCAGTGCCCTTTGTGGGCTCTTAGCTCTCCTGCAGTGCCCTTTGTGGCTCTTAGCTCTCCTGCAGTGCCCTTTGTGGGCTCTTAGCTCTCCTGCAGTGCCCTTTGTGGGCTCTTAGCTCTCCTGCAGTGCCCTTTGTGGGCTCTTAGCTCTCCTGCAGTGCCCTTTGTGGGCTCTTAGCTCTCCTGCAGTGCCCTTTGTGGGCTCTTAGCTCTCCTGCAGTGCTCCTTGTGGGCTCTTAGCTCTCCTGCAGTGCCCTTTGTGGGCTCTTAGCTCTCCTGCAGTGCCCTTTGTGGGCTCTTAGCTCTCCTGCAGTGCCCTTTGTGGCTCTTATCTCTGCTGCAGTGCCCTTTGTGGGCTCTTAGCTATCCTGCAGTGCCCTTGTGGGCTCTTAGCTCTCTGCAGTGCCCTTTGTGGGCTCTTAGCTCTCCTGCAGTGCCCTTTGTGGGCTCTTAGCTCTCCTGCAGTGCCCTTTGTGGTCTCTTAGCTCTCCTGCAGTGCCCTTTGTGGGCTCTTAGCTCTCCTGCAGTGCCCTTTGTGGGCTCTTAGCTCTCCTGCAGTGCCCTTTGTGGGCTCTTAGCTCTCCTGCAGTGCCCTTTGTGGGCTCTTAGCTCTCCTGCAGTGCTCCTTGTGGGCTCTTAGCTCTCCTGCAGTGCTCCTTGTGGGCTCTTAGCTCTCCTGCAGTGCCCTTTGTGGACTCTTAGCTCTCCTGCAGTGCTCCTTTTGGGCTCCTAGCTCTCCTGCAGTGCTCCTTGTGAACTCTTAGCTCTCCTGCAGTGCCCTTTGTGGACTCTTAGCTCTCCTGCAGTGCTCCTTGTGGGCTCTTAGCTCTCCTGCAGTGCTCCTTGTGGGCTCTTAGCTCTCCTGCAGTGCTCCTTGTGGACTCTTAGCTCTCCTGCAGTGCCCTTTGTGGACTCTTAGCTCTCCTGCAGTACTTCTTTTGGGCTCCTAGCTCTCCTGCAGTGCTCCTTGTGAACTCTTAGCTCTCCTGCAGTGCTCCTTGTGGACTCTTAGCTCTCCTGCAGTGCTCTTTGTGGGCTCTTAGCTCTCCTGCAGTGCCCTTTGTGGGCTCTTAGCTCTCCTGCAGTGCTCCTTGTGGGCTCTTAGCTCTCCTGCAGTGCTCCTTGTGGGCTCTTAGCTCTCCTGCAGTGCCCCTTGTGGACTCTTAGCTCTCCTGCATTGCTCTTTGTGGGCTCTTAGCTCTCCTGCAGTGCTCCTTGTGGCTCTTAGCTCTTCTGCAGTGCTCCTTGTGGGCTCTTAGCCCTCCTGCAGTGCTCCTTGTGGGCTCTTAGCTCTCCTGCAGTGCTCCTTGTGGGCTCTTAGCTCTCCTGCAGTGCTCCTTGTGGGCTCTTAGCCCTCCTGCAGTGCTCCTTGTGGGCTCTTATCTCTCCTGCAGTGCTCCTTGTGGGCTCTTAGCTCTACTGCAGTGCTCCTTGTGGGCTCTTAGCTCTCCTGCAGTGCTCCTTGTGGGCTCTTAGCTCTACTGCAGTGCTCCTTGTGGGGCTCTTAGCTCTCCTGCAGTGCTCCTTGTGGGCTCTTAGCTCTACTGCAGTGCTCCTTGTGGGCTCTTAGCTCTCCTGCAGTGCTCCTTGTGGGCTCTTAGCTCTCCTGCAGTGCTCCTTGTGGGCTCTTAGCTCTCCTGCAGTGCTCCTTGTGGACTCTTAGCTCTCCTGCAGTGCTCCTTGTGGGCTCTTAGCTCTCCTGCAGTGCCCTTTGTGGGCTCTTAGCTCTCCTGGGAGTTGCTCCTTGTGGGCTCTTAGCTCTCCTGCAGTGCTCCTTGTGGACTCTTAGCTCTCCTGCAGTGCTCCTTGTGGGCTCTTAGCTCTCCTGCAGTGGTCCTTGTGGGCTCTTAGCTCTCCTGCAGTGCTTCTTGTGGGCTCTTAGCTCTCCTGCAGTGCTCCTTGTGGGCTCTTAGCTCTCCTGCAGTGCTCCTTGTGGGCTCTTAGCTCTCCTGCAGTGCCCCTCTTTCATGGCCTTTGACAGACTCCACTACTTCCTTCCCTGCTTCCTTTGGCTCCTTTTGGCGTCCCTTTTACCTATTTTTTTGTCCCACCAACCTTCCTGCCTACTTCCACTACTACATCAACACTACCAGCCTTTCCTCTACCACTACCCGTCCATCCTCTCTTGCTGCGTCCCTGTCAGCTGGCCTTTATATACTGCCTCCTTCTCTCCTTCCTGTTCCCTCCATCCGGAGGGCCCATGGCAAGAAGGAAGGAGAAAGAAGACGAGCGACATCCCCCCATCCAGGGGGCCAACGCCGGGTCACCATCTGGAAAAGACCTGGACCGGGACAAGTCCGTCGAATCTACAACAACAACAACATCCTTCCTGTAAGTGGTCCAGGTTGAACCGAAGCGTCCAAACTCCTGTCTCCTATGTGCGGGTTGTGTACTGGACTCTGGTTCTACCGCTCTATTCTCTCTCACCTTCTCTGTGACTGTCTTGAAGACGTCACCACGACGCCCATTCTTGAACAGGAGTGTGAGGGTGAGTCAGGCACCTGTCGGGGTACATACATCACGTATACATCAAGTATACATTGTATAGACATCGTGTCAACATAATTTACATTTTTCGTTCAGAAATCGCCCTGCAGTGGTTCAAAGATATTTTAACCCACGAGTAAAAATGTTTGTAAATCACCATTGCAGGAAAAAGATACTTTATAGTGCCTCTCTGTGGGTAAAAGATACTTTACAAAGCCCCACTGTGGGCAAAAGATACTTCATAAAGCCCCACTGTGGGTAAAACATACTTTTTAAAGCCCCACTGTGGGTAAAAGATACTTCATAAAGCCTCACTGTGGGTAAAAGATACTTTTTAAAGCCCAAATGTGGGTAAAAAATACTTCATAAAGCCCCACTTTGGATAAAAGATACTTTATAAAGTCCCACTGTGGGTAAAAGATACTTCATAAGGCCCCACTGTGGGTAAAAGATACTTTATAAAGCCCCACTGTGGGTAAAAGATACTTCATAAGGCCCCACTGTGGGTAAAAGATACTTTTCAAAGCCCCAATGTGGGTAAAAGATACTTCATAAAGCCCCCAGCTGTGGGTAAGTTACTTTATAAAGCCGCACTGTACTCACCTGGAATGAGGTCCTGGGCGTGGCCGTGTGGACACTAGACCTAGGTGAAGCTAGGCCTCCTAAAGAGCTGAAGGCTCCCTCGCTCTCACAGCTAAGCCTCTTGCCTCCTTTACTCCTGGGACCTACTAGCAGGAAGCCAGAGGAGGTTGTGAGTACTCCACTGGAAGATCTGTTGGAGGATCTACGTCTGGCACCGCTGGTTTGGACCTCCTGTTCGTCTTCGGGTTCTGAACCTGATGTGGCAGGTTCAACCTTGTTCCACCCCTGAAGGAGAAAGGGGCGGGAGTCTAGTGAGAACTTGTGGGTTTGGAATACTGAGGGACTGATTAGCTTTTATGACTTAGGGACTGACTACCATGTTATGACTGAGGGACTGACTACCATGTTATGACTGAGGGACTGACTACCTTCTGTTATGACTAAGGGACTGACTACCTTCTGTTATGACTGAGGGACTGACTACCTTCTGTTATGACTGAGAGACTGACTACCTTCTGTTATGACTGAGAGACTGACTACCTTCTCTTATGACTGAGAGACTGACTACCTTCTGTTATGACTGAGGGACTGACTACCTTCTGTTATGACTGAGGGACTGACTACCTTCTGTTATGACTGAGAGACTGACTACCTTCTGTTATGACTGAGAGACTGACTACCTTCTGTTATGACTGAGAGACTGACTACCTTCTGTTATGACTGAGAGACTGACTACCTTCTGTTATGACTGAGGGACTGACTACCTTCTGTTATGACTGAGGGACTGACTACTTTCTGTTATAATTGAGGGACTGATTACCTTCTCTAATGACTGAGGGTGTGACTACCTTTTGTTATGACTGAGGGATTGATTATCTTCTATCATGAGGTCATACTGTCCTAAACTGTCTAGGAATTAGTGTGGGGTGTTACCGAGCACCATGAACCTACTTATTCAAGAGGAGAATAGGATGTTGAAGCTTTGCCTAGATGGGTTTGGGAGTGAGTGTGAGATGGTTGGAGCTGGTAAGGAGGAAGTGTGAGATGGTTGGAGCTGGTAAGGAGGAAGTGTGAGATGGTTGGAGCTGGTAAGGAGGAAGTGTGAGATGGTTGGAGCTGGTAAGGAGGAAGTGTGAGATGGTTGGAGCTGGTAAGGAGGAAGTGTGAGATGGTTGGAGCTGGTAAGATAAGATAAAACCAATATTGCAAACCAGAAATACCGCAGGAAATAGCAAACAAGAGGACTCCAATAGCAATAGTGAGGATAAATTACCAAAAACAACTGGTGGGAGCTCCATTGTTGGTGCTAAGGAGGATAGGAATAAGACAGGGAAACATGCACCAACAGGGAATACAGTCACAGAAACCCAAGGCAAACGGAAACCAAGCCTGTGCACATACTATGCACTTGGTATCTGCTGGCATGGGAAATCTGGAAAAACAGATGGGACATGCAACTATGACCACCCTAGAAAATGTCATGCCCATATGACAACAGGAAAATGCAAACTCCCTTCCTGTAAGCTTTTTCACCCTGAAATGTGTACCTCTTCAGTACAGGAAAGACTGTGCTATACTTAAATTGCCAGGCATACCATCTAAAGGGGACAAAAAGATACAAAACATCCAGGCCATGGGAAAACCTGGGTAGCCACAGCCACTCAAGAGGGAGAGGTTTTTTAGTGCCAGGAAGGAAAAAAAACTGGCAGGAAATGGCAGAAATCGTACACCAAACCCAGTCATTCCTGGAGTGGAACCACAGTCGATGGCCTCCACTCCAAACCAACAGATACAGATACTAATGCCGGAAAAAAAATCCCCCCCAGTACCAACAATACCACCAGTCCGATAACATTCTTCTTTGCAAATATACAGGGTCTAAAGCCAGCAATAAACAACAAAATACCTTTCATCCGTGGACTGCTTGCAGAGGCAAAGGCAATGTTCGCGGCTTTCACTGAGACCCACATAAAGGATCACTTGGACAACGAAATATGGATCCCAGGTTACAACCTATACAGATGTGACAGAGTGAACAGGCAAAAGGGGGGGGTTGGCCTGTACATTGCAGAGTCACTTGTTTGCACAGAACTGCTTAATGCCTCAAATGACGTAGTGGAAGTTTTAGCAGTAAAGGTCGAGAACCAAAACCTAGTCATTGTGGTAGTCTACAAGCCTCCGGATGCAACATCCCAGCAATTCCAGGAACAGCTGTTAAAAATTGACCACTGTCTGGAAAATCTTCCAGCTCCTGCACCCAACATCTTGCTCCTGGGGGATTTCAACTTAAGGCACCTAAAATGGAGGAATATAGCAAATAATATTGTTGCAGTAATAACACCAGGAGGCAGCTCTGATGAAAACTCACACTCACACGAGCTTTTAAATCTCTGCACAAAATTCAATTTAAACCAGCAAATAATAGAGCCTACTAGACTGGAGAATACACTAGACCTCATCTTCACTAACAATGATGATCTGATAAGAAATGTCACCATATCAAAAACAATATACTCAGATCACAACATAATTGAGGTTCAGACATGTATGCGTGGAGCCTCAGACCGACAAAATGAGACTAGTCACGAGGGAGCATTCACCAAATTCAACTTCAATAACAAAAAACATAAAGTGGGACCAAGTAAACCAAGTCCTAACCGATATAAGCTGGGAAGAAAATACTAAGCAACACAGACCCAAACTTATGCCTAGAACAGATTAACTCGGTGGCACTCGATGTATGCACAAGGCTTATTCCTCTAAGAAAAAGGAGGAGTAGATGTAAAATAGAAAGAGACAGGCGCTCCCTTTACAGGCGACGGAAAAGAATAACAGAGCGGCTAAAAGAGGTCAATATATCAGAAATGCGCAGGGAGACACTGGTCAGAGAAATAGCAAGCATCGAACTTAAGCTAAAAGAATCTTTAGGAGTCAGGAATCGCGGGAAGAACTAAAAGCCATAAATGAAATCGAAAGAAACCCAAATTTATTTCTTCTCCTATGCCAAATCAAATCGAGAACAACGTCCAGTATTGGGCCCTACTTAAACAAGATGGGTCCTACACAGATGACAGCAAGGAAATGAGTGAGCTACTCAAGTCCCAATATGACTCAGTTTTTAGCAAGCCGCTAACCAGACTGAGAGTCGAAGATCAAAATGAATTTTTTTAATGAGAGAGCCACAAAATTTGATTAACACAAGCCTATCCGATGTTATCCTGACGCCAAATGACTTCGAACAGGCGATAAATGACATGCCCATGCACTCTGCCCCAGGGCCAGACTCATGGAACTCTGTGTTCATCAAGAACTGCAAGAAGCCCCTATCACGAGCCTTTTCCATCCTATGGAGAGGGAGCATGGACACGGGGGTCGTCCCTCAGTTACTAAAAACAACAGACATAGCCCCACTCCACAAAGGGGGCAGTAAAGCAACAGCAAAGAACTACAGACCAATAGCACTAACATCCCATATCATAAAAATCTTTGAAAGGGTCCTAAGAAGCAAGATCACCACCCATCTAGAAACCCATCAGTTACACAACCCAGGGCAACATGGGTTTAGAACAGGTCGCTCCTGTCTGTCTCAACTACTGGATCACTACGACAAGGTCCTAAATGCACTAGAAGACAAAAAGAATGCAGATGTAATATATACAGACTTTGCAAAAGCCTTCGACAAGTGTGACCATGGCGTAATAGCGCACAAAATGCGCGCTAAAGGAATAACAGGAAAAGTTGGTCGATGGATCTATAATTTCCTCACTAACAGAACACAGAGAGTAGTCGTCAACAGAGTAAAGTCCGAGGCAGCTACGGTGAAAAGCTCTGTTCCACAAGGCACAGTACTAGCTCCCATCTTGTTCCTCATCCTATATCCGACATAGACAAGGATGTCAGCCACAGCACCGTGTCTTCCTTTGCAGATGACACCCGAATCTGCATGACAGTGTCTTCCATTGCAGACACTGCAAGGCTCCAGGCGGACATCAACCAAATCTTTCAGTGGGCTGCAGAAAACAATATGAAGTTCAACGATGAGAAATTTCAATTACTCAGATATGGTAAACATGAGGAAATTAAATCTTCATCAGAGTACAAAACAAATTCTGGCCACAAAATAGAGCGAAACACCAACGTCAAAGACCTGGGAGTGATTATGTCGGAGGATCTCACCTTCAAGGACCATAACATTGTATCAATCGCATCTGCTAGAAAAATGACAGGATGGATAATGAGAACCTTCAAAACTAGGGAGGCCAAGCCCATGATGACACTCTTCAGGTCACTTGTTCTATCTAGGCTGGAATATTGCTGCACTCTAACAGCACCTTTCAAGGCAGGTGAAATTGCCGACCTAGAAAATGTACAGAGAACTTTCATGGCGCGCATAACGGAGATAAAACACCTCAATTACTGGGAGCGCTTGAGGTTTCTAAACCTGTATTCCCTGGAACGCAGGAGGGAGAGATACATGATTATATACACCTGGAAAATCCTAGAGGGACTAGTACCGAACTTGCACACGAAAATCACTCACTACGAAAGCAAAAGACTTGGCAGACGATGCACCATCCCCCAATGAAAAGCAGGGGTGTCCCCTAGCACGTTAAGAGACCATACAATAAGTGTCAGGGGACCGAGACTGTTCAACTGCCTCCCAGCACACATAAGGGGGATTACCAACAGACCCCTGGCAGTCTTCAAGCTGGCACTGGACAAGCACCTAAAGGCAGTTCCTGATCAGCCGGGCTGTGGCTCGTACGTTGGTTTGCGTGCAGCCAGCAGCAACAGCCTGGTTGATCAGGCGCTGATCCACCAGGAGGCCTGGTCACAGACCGGGCCGCGGGGGCGTTGACCCCCGAAACTCTCTCCAGGTAAACTCCAGGTAAGGAGGAAGTGTGAGATGGTTGGAGCTGGTAAGGAGAAAGTGTGAGATGGTTGGAGCTGGTAAGGAGGAAGTGTGAGATGGTTGGAGCTGGTAAGGAGGAAGTGTGAGATGGTTGGAGCTGGTAAGGAGGAAGTGTGAGATGGTTGGGGCTGGTAAGGAGGAAGTGTGAGATGGTTGGAGCTGGTAAGGAGGAAGTGTGAGATGGTTGGAGCTGGTAAGGAGGAAGTGTGAGATGGTTGGGGCTGGTAAGGAGGAAGTGTGAGATGGTTGGAGCTGGTAAGGAGGAAGTGTGAGATGGTTGGAGCTGGTAAGGAGGAAGTGTGAGATGGTTGGAGCTGGTAAGGAGGAAGTGTGAGATGGTTGGAGCTGGTAAGGAGGAAGTGTGAGATGGTTG